AGCCTGCAGCTATTCCCACGGTTTTTCCATGTTTTTTCGGTCAGGCTGTTGCCATGAGAACAGACGGGTTCAAACTTCGAATCTTAGAATGGCCATGTTTGGCATGTGACCCATCGGTGGTGTTCAACCATCGATGGAAGCTCTTGGTTTTCAGGCCTGATTTGACTTTGGGGTGTCGGAATGATGGAAGTTTCGCCTGGATTCCTAGCCTGGACACATCACCGGGATTCGGAATAAATTCCATAGCTGGTGCTGAAATTGTCAGCTGTTGGGATCTGTTGGGATGACGGTCCGCTAAAAAACCTCCTGATACCCTTGGCACGTCTTGGCATCCTGGATTTCCAAGGAGATGTTGCAATGCACTGAACGCTCGGAAAGTCGAAAAGACAACGTGGGTGGGGGCACGACCACCTACTACGAGTACGACCGCCGCTGGGAGAGTCGAGTTTGGGGACGAAGTTACCCAGTTGGTGAGGAGAATCGGGGGTATATCAACCGAAAGACCCAGAGAATACCATAAGTATATTTCATTATATTTCTGCCAAAATTTCCAGACCCCGTAGGAACTAGGAACCACAAATCTGGCAAGTCTTGGTCAAGGGTGGGCTAATAGTTTAAGGTTTAGCGTATTACTGTACTGTAGCTATATATATGGGGCAACAGAGGTGATATCGGTGATATCTCAGTTACTATTGACTACTTTGGCTCATTTGGCTCAGCATGTTCTGAGTGTCCTGAGCATAATTTAGCCGGAAGGCAAACTAGAAATTCCCCATGTTCTGAGTTGTCCTGAGCAAACCGATCTGCTCCAAGGAGGCTGGCGTTCACAGTGGATTGTGCCTTGCCAGTCATGGTTTTGTTGGAAAATTTTGAGAGACACACCCACATCAACACAACATTAATAAGCACTATATAGTTTTGTTAGTTATGTTTTAGTCAAATTTTGCTGAAAGTCTGCAGTAAGGAACACGGATCATGTGTGTTTTTTTCGAGCTAAGGATCCATACCGATTTCATGATCGCGACAAAGCGGCACAGCAATGTGGTGGCCTGCACTCCAAGCTGCACTTGGCACTTGGGAGACCTGGGACATGATTTGGCTGAAACCCTGGCTTTGGGACACGGAAACCCTGGGGAACCCTGTGACGAGACCGTGATGGACCCGTGATTTACCAAACTCAACGCGGATTGAATGCCTCAAAACAGAATCCTGTTTTGGTTGGTGTTTGTTGCGTGGAAAGCAAAGTGGCTTGTGGTTGCTGCTGTTTCGAAACAAAGCTCCTCAGTTGGATGGTTCCAAAAAAAATATCTTGGTCGGAGTTGCCAAACCCTGGGTTTTGTTTGGAAAGCCTGGGTTTCCCAGCTGACCCTGCGAATTTCTCGGGTTTGGTTGGTTAGGGTATGGATCCATAGCTATCAATAATGTTATAAATGCATATAAATGCAGGACATGTGGATGGTTTTAGAATCTTTTAGATGAGCATCCAGAACTACAGAACTTGGATGCGAGACACAAGTGTCCTATCGGGGACTCGTCCAAAACGCCACCATCGTGGTTGGTTGTTTGGGCATTTTTGTGCGGCACGTGACATGTTGGATATCCCAGATAAACAAAAGGTGTGTTGATATGTGATGATATCCCATGACGGATCCATGGTGCTGGTATATATATGCTAACATGACTGGGGATATATTGATGGGATCCATGTCACCATATATACCATACATGGATCCGTCATGGGTATGTGATGATATGTGCTTAAAACATCTTAAACCACTGAAATATGAAATGATCCCGACCGGCTTTTCCTAGGTTGACATCCTTTCTTCATCATGCAAGTAGCTGTCTCAGATTTGGAAACCCTCCACCTGAGTTATTTCGGGAAAGCCCAGGCCCCAAGCTTTGCCATTGGATCCAAAGGTCCTACATGGATGAATTGGCGGATTTGCATGGATTTGGTTGTGGGTCAACACTGATGCAATTTATGTATGCACCAGAGGGAAGCATAGATTCTTTGCTCTCGTTACTCTCGTTTAATATCCTCCACTTTTACAGTGTTAAACTGCTGTGACACCACATCCCCTGCAAAAAAAAACATAACTCTCATTCTAAGGGATGTATCGGTATCGGTATAACTTCCAAACCACTTCATGATTTTATTGGTTGCTTGAGTTCAGGGCCACACCAGCAAAAGCCATCCGCAATCGCCATGGCATCGTCGTCTGGACTTTCAGCCCTTGCTGCCGCAACCGGCCTGGCAGTGGGCTTTGGTCTGGGGGCGTGGTATGCCACCCGCGCGGCGCGACAGAAGGACGGCGGTCTGAGGGATAGCGTTTTTATCATTGGGGTTTTAAGCAACAAAGAGGATATCTTAAAATTAGGATTGAACCAACAAAAAATGTTGTTTCAAGCAGCAATAATATACGTGTGTATATATATATATACATATATGTGGGGATTCAAGCATGAAAAGGGAGATGTGGCCACTATTTTAAAAGTCCTATTATATAATACAGTGATACATTCCTGTTCCTTTTCATGAGTGGGATTGCTTTCCTATCATGGGTAACAGTGATAACATAGACCCGGGCAAGCCGGCGGCGGAAGTTTCCCAAACATAAATGACCTATAGTTCAAAGACACCCTGTCCCGACCGTGTCCTTCCCTCGACAACCGTTTGATTTTTTCAGCGAGAGACGAAGCAAAGTCTTCACACTCCACACTTCACACTGCACTCTTCGCACTCCAAACTTCAAACTTCACACTCCACACTTCACACTTCACAGTCCACACTTCACACTTCTCACTTCTCACTGCTTCCTTCACACTCCAAACCTCACACTTCACACTTCACACTGCGCTCTTCGCACTCCAAACTGAAACTTCACACTCCACACTTCACACTCTCACTTCCCACTGCTTCCTTCACACTTCACACTTCACACTGCACTCTTCACGCCCCACACTTCACACTGCTCTAAACCTACGTGCAACAAAAAAACACTAGCGCCAAAATGGAGAAAATCTGCTAACAAATCCATTTCGCAGCCTTCATGCAGCCAGTCCAAGACGATTTACGAGATCCAGCTGCAAAAGACATTACGCATGCAGCCAAAGCAAGAAGCAACCTTGACGCAGCCATTCCAATGCGATCTGCTCAGACTGAGTTGCAAAACACAAGAGAACTACGCGCAATGGCGTCGGAAATTGTAGCTCCAAAACCGGATCTCGACGCCAGAGCGAAAAAAAGACGATTTTGAAGCATTTTTTAAAAAGATTTTTAGAAGGAAAATCACTAGCGCCAAAATGGAGAAAATCTGCTGACAAATCACTGTTCATGCAGCCACTCCAATACGATTTACGAAGTCCAGCTGCAAAAGACAATAGTATTACGCATGCAGCCACAGCATGAAGCAACCTTGACGCAGCCATTACAATGCGATCTGCGGAGACTGAGTTGCAAAACACAATAGAACTACGCGCAACGGCTCGGGAAATTGTAGTCCAAAACCGGATCCTCACGCCAGAGCGAAAAAAAAGACATTTTGAAGCACTTTTAAAAGGATTTTTAAGGAAAATCACTAGCGCCAAAAACGCATTTCGTGCGAGACTTCCTTCAAAACTCCATCGGCAACTCCTCCACCAGCACCACTTGCAACCCCATTTACAGTGAGGGAACGATCCTAGAGTTGCAAATCACAATGGGAATTCCATCGGCAACTCATCCACCAGCACCACTTGCAATCCCATTTACATTGCGGGAACGATCCTACAGTTGCAAATCACAATGGAATTCTGTCGACGGCACATGCACGAAAAACACTTGAAACCCCATTTACAATGCGGAACCGATCCGACCATGATCCGAGAATATCCGACCATGATCCGACCACACACGAGACCGTCTCGCACCCGTCGCACCGCAGAGGTAGATCATCGGCGTTCGGGGACGGACTTTGTATGGAAAAACACAGGGTTTGGTGCATCTGCTATCTCTCAAAACCGCATTTCGTGCGAGACTTCCTTCAAAACTCCATCGGCAACTCCTCCACCAGCACCACGTGTGAATCCCATTTACAGTGAGGGAACGATCCTAGAGTTGCAAATCACAATGGAATTCCATCAACTCATCCACCAGCACCACGTGCAATCCCATTTACATTGCGGGAACAATTTCTTTGACTAACTCGTTCCCTAACGAACACTTTCTTTGCTAACTCTTTCTTTGCTCTTTCTTTGACTAACTCTTTCCCTCACTAACTCTTTCTTTGACTACCTCATATATCCTGACTAACTCTTTCCCTCACTAACTATTTCTTTGACTAACTCTTTCCCTCACTAACTCTTTCTTTGACTAACTCTTTCCCTCACTAACTCTTTCTTTGACTAACTCTTTCTTTAACTAACTCTTTCCCTGACGAACTCTTTCTTTGCTAACTCTTTCTTTGACTAACTCTTTCCCTCACTAACTCTTTCTTTGACTAACTCTTTCCCTCACTAACTCTTTCTTTGACTAACTCTTTCCCTGACTAACTGTTTCCCTCACTAACTCTTTCTTTGACTAACTCTTTCTTTAACTAACTCTTTCCCTGACGAACTCTTTCTTTGACTAACTCTTCTTTGACTAACTCTTTCTTTGACTAACTCTTTCCCTCACTAACTCTTTCTTTGACTAACTCTTTCCCTGACTAACTGTTTCCCTCACTAACTCTTTCTTATACTAACTCTTCTTTACTAACTCTTTCTTTGACTAACTCTTCTTTGACTAATTCTTTCTTTGACTAACTCTTTCCCTGACATTCTAAAAGTCCGTAACACGGAAGTTTCTCCCCCTAAACTTCCTTTGATCAGCGTTGAAATGTTCCAAATGCCAGACATTTAAGTCTTGCTTGAGCATCTGCTTTAGACTTGGCAGCAACATTGCTGCAGTTTGGGTTGGGGAAGAGCATATGTTGAGTCATCCGAAATCAGCACAAGTTCATGTTTGCCCGCGGCCTGGATGAGAGAAAACAGCATCTCGAAAGCGAACGCCCTGGGTACCAGGAAAAGCATCGCAAGCGCTTGATGCAAATGGCCAAGGTCGGGCAGATGAGAAGGGCGAAGGACCTCCCCACGGAGGGTGATAAGTCAGACCTCCGAAAGCGGGGACGGTTTGTAATCTTAGCTTCGGATTCATAAGGGGGGCGCAACCCCCCCCCAAAACAATGTAAAGCTTCCCCGCAATTAGATTTCTGTTCATACATATATATATTATTTATTTATTTATTTAATTATATATACACATACACATACATACATATACATACAAATATATATATATATATTTAATTATATATACACATACACATACATACACATACATACACATACATATACATACATATACATACATATACATACATATACATATATATATATGTGTACATATGCATTACACATATACATAAACATACATACGCATACATACGCATACATACGCATACATACGCATACATACGCATACATACGCATACATACCTACATACCTACATACCTACATACCTACATACCTACATACCTACATACCTACATACCTACATACCTACATACCTACATACCTACATACCTACATACCTACATACCTACATACCTACATAGATACATAGATACATAGATAGATAGATAGATACAGACAGACAGACAGACAGGCAGACAGACAGACATACATACATACACACACATACATACATACACACATACACACATACACACATACACACATACAGACATACAGACATACAGACATACAGACAGACATACATACATATATATATATATATATATACATATACATAAAAGTAAATACACATATATATATATATTATACCTACACATACATACACATACATACGCAGGTCTGAAACAGGTCTGAAGCTTGGAAGGGTAAGGGTTGCTCTCCACACGCTGCTCTCTATAGTTTCAAAGCTGTGTCAAAGTGGTCTCAGACTGGTAATTGAGGTTTTAACTGGAAAATCCTTTGTAAATGGAGGCTTTAGCAAGAAAAGCTCTCGTCAGTGGTGATATAGATATTATCTGAGTTGCTTTCACCTTGTAACTTTTTCCCCTTGGGGAGAGGGAGAGCCAAGCATAGGAGATTTTCCCACAAAAACATCCGTTTGCACGGGATTTTCCCACTTGTATACAAGTGCTTCTCTTATTAGATTGATGTTTTTAGTGGAAATTTTCTTGTAAATGGAGGTTTTTGTGGGAAAATTCCATGTAAAGTGGGAAAATTCCTTTTGGTTTTTGGTGGGAAAAGGGAATGCCAGATACTCAAAGTAAAGGGGCGCAATTGAAAACCAATACAAAAAAACTGCTCGGCCCGAAAACATATATATTATTTGTGATTATTGTGCGTTTTTAAGGCCAACACGAAGTAGAAGCAAACCTTTTCCGATTGGAACATCATCTCCCAGGTTTCAATTTCAATGGCCCTCATTGGCACCACCAGCGCTGGAGGTGCGCCCAGACCGAGTGGCCCTCTACAAGCGTCACCATCAGGCATGGCTGGGCTAGGGGCAAAATTTGTTTCTCATGTTCAAGTGGTCGACTAGAGTAATCCAATCAAGGGGAATTTAATGGGAATTTATCCAGCAACACTGGGGATGAAGCCAAAAAATGTTGGATATATTAAATCCCTTCCCAAAATTTGTGTAAAAGATCCTTCAAATCCTGGTTGTGTATTGGACCCCTTTTTTTGTGGGTTGCCGGGTGCCTAATTGTACTTGAGTGGGAATCATCCCATGGCGGGCTCATGGGATGTCTGGTGCAGGGAAAGTTTTCCGAAAAAAGGCATCCGATTGTTCAAGATGAGATGTCGGAAGAGTTTTTTCGCATAATCCAAAGAACATTTTAGGTGATGAACCATTTTTATGGTGTTTTGGAAACAAAGAACATTTTTTTATGTCAGGGAATCCAACTCAAAGTTCCAAGACATCTTCCCAGCACTTGTTTTTTCAAAGGACAGCCTGACCACCAGGCCGTGTGGCCGGAAGTGGAGCAAGGCCTGGCGAAGGCCGGGGTCGAAACGATTTCTATCTGGTCGGATCCCATGGACGATTGCGCTCTATATATGCACCTTGGACATCCGCTGATGGAGGAGATGGGGGTTGGGGCCAGGGATTTTTGCCTATGGAGATTCATGGCGTCGAAATAGTTTGAAGATATCGCATGAGATAAAATCGTATTGTGATTCTGGTTGGTGGTTTGGAACATGTTTTATTTTTCCATATATTGGGAATAATCATCCCAACTGTTACTCACTCCATCATTTTTTAGAGGGGTAGGTTCAAACCACAGCCAATTTTCAGCATTCTATTCAGGATCAGCCAAAGTGGCTGAGGAATTATGGAGTTCTGTAAATTGGTACACTGAGTAGGTGGGGAGATCAGAAACGTACACCTCCTGAGGGAGAAAGCTGTCCTATGATTCCATCCTTGCAAGGTGATCGAGCGGACAAAGATGACATGGGCAACTCCTTTCGTCAGATCATTGGGGGGTATCATTTTCGTAAATTTTAGTAGTAGCCTAAATATGCCATAATATGCCTCAATTATTAGGTAGTACTGTACCCAATCAAACAACCAGGCTACGTCTTACTCTGGGATTGACATGCTCCCCGAAAGGGATATACTTAAAGAAACCAAGAATGACCAATCTTGTGCCCCCCAGTTACAAGTTGGTTTAGAAGACCACATCAAATATTTATATAAGTCACAAACCGACTTTGCTCTCTAATCTAACTACGGTGGCACCTCCATTATCATTTATTGTGGTTATTGATAATGGGGGATTACCCCAATTTCGGGTTAGTGCTAATCTCATCAAAATATATTAAAATTATCAACCTCCAATATCATCATTACCACAGTGTGGTTATTTTTGGGGCTGTCCCGTTCTGGAACATATCCCACAGAAATCTGGGGGCCCAGGTACTTAGAGCTGGCCGAGGATGCAGAAGACTTGGGCGAGGGCTCCAGATATCGTGAGCATCCCGTCGTGCGCGTGCCTTGGACGCGAGGATCTGGGGAAATCTTGGAGGGCTTAGCCATCGAACATGTAGAACTCATGTAGGTCTTATATGGCTTTATCATGTCTAGAATCTGTAAATATAGTGAATCAGTTTGATAAAGATATTTTTAGGGAATTGAAACATCAAAAAGATGAGGGAAAGCCACTGGATACCAAGAAGGCTGCAGGGCATCTAAGATTCAGTTATCCCAGCGAGCCAATACAGTAATTCTTTGTGAATTTTGATGAATTGTGGCAACCCATCAGGCAAACCCATTGGCCGCAATGGTGTTCTATCTCCGGGTGATTTTACTCTAGGCAAGTCAGAGAGGTTTGGCTGGAATGGCTGAACGAATAAGTTGGGGTCACCCGGTCACCCGCTGAAAGACCATCAACAGGTCTGCAGAACTTGGAGGTCCCAGGCTTTTGGGTGATGAGAAGGAAGGATTTTTGGAATTTGTCCATCTAGTAGTCAAGGTCGAACAATACAGGCAGCAACGTGGGTTTGTCTATAGTTTACACATGTTTAACTCCCCCGAATCCAGTGGTTTCAAACCTTTCCCTAGCAAAATGGTTATTTCAGACGCATGTCAACCATAGTTTCCTGCTTTCTGGGTCCGCCCAGGAGTGGGAACGTGCCATGGAAACTGAATTCCATTCAGGCACAAGTTGTTACACTGGGCGGTGAGAGCTGTAGAAATTGGGATGAAATTGGGGATGGTGTGAACGTTAAATACCCTACGCAAATGGCAAACATCATCAAACATCCCATAAATGATCATAAATGTATGCATGATATTTCATGGATCATGATTTTCATCAATAACTGATGTGGACTTCTCGTCCTTATTTCAGTTATAGTTCCTGTGGTCCTGTGGTCCTGTGGTCCTTGTGATGATTTCTTTGTGGATACCATGTTCATCTGGAAACATAACGGGCCCTCAAACACCGAAGCAACAGGGTCAACTTGTATACCAACAAGAGTGTGTGATACCCTCTGGTAAACTAACATAACTATGGAAAATCACCATTTTTAATGGGAAAATCCACTATAAATGGCCATTTTCAATAGCGAACTGTTAGTTTACCAGAGGGAATCTACTTTGGTTACCCTGTAGTGAAGGATGCCATTCTGAGTTGATCCTGGGCCATTGATGCTGGCTGCTCAATACGTGCATCCGACTCGTGCCCTGGGTCTATATCGCATATTTTCGCATATATTTCTTGATAGGTGCCATTAAAACTACTGGCTGGTGCTTTGGAACATTTTTTATTTGTCCATATATTGGGAATAATCCTTCCCATTGATTAATATTTTTCAAGAGCTGTTGGGGCCCGATACCTTCCAGTAGGTTCAGCTGTGCGTACTGAAGTCGGGCTGGTAGTTGTACTAGGTGGTTGCCATGGTACCTCAAAATTGGGGTGATCTTACGGTGGATTCTCAAGTGCAACTGGTCTTTTCCATGGTTTGTCGTGGGGACACCCCAGCTGGACCTCATCTAGTTCAAAGTGCTGACAGAAGAGGGGCAAAGATTTGGGTGCATGGTAGTCTTCCCTCTGGTCAGCTGTTGGGGGGTCTTGGCCTACAGGTGACTTCTTTGAGTCCGATTCATCTCAGCATTGTGGATTCCTCCTATGTGTACGCCATTCCGCCTTGTGTTCGCTTTGGTCTGTTTCAGGTTGTCGATCTCTGCTGTGGACTTGGTGGCTTCTCGTGTTTGCTTGGCAGGGTTGGCATGAGACTGAAGTTTGGAGTAGACCATAACGCTAAGTGGGAGCCTCTTTTTCGCTTGCTTCATCAGCCTGATGCTTGTTTCTTGCATGGTGATATCAATGATCCGGCCATTGTTCGAACCTTGGTTGAAGGAGGTTGCCTCCATGGTGTTTTGTGTGCAGGAATCAGCTGCAATGCTCATTCCATCTTGGGTGATCAGCTTGGCATGAGTGACCCACGTTCACTGAGCTTACCAAAGGCTCTTCAGACAGCCTACATGTTGCAATCCGCTTGTTTTGTCCTTGAGTGCACCCCTGCCATCATGAGAGATCAAGAAGCACAGACCATCATCATGAAGTTTGCTGAAGCAACAGGGTACAAAGTTTCCCAAACATTGGTCCAGCTTTCTAACTCTTGGTGCAGTCGGCGTGAGCGTTGGTTTGGCTTGTTTTGTGCTCCGCTGTTGGGTGCCTGCAATCTTGTGGATTTGCCTGCCTTGAATGTCTGTCCAGTGGTCCGAGATCTGATGCCTGTCATGCACACTTGGCCTGAACACGAACAAGCGCAGATCAGTTTGAATCTGTATGAGTTGGCAAAGTACTATAGCTATGCCTCAGGTGGGATTGCAAATGCCTTTTCGCAGCCGGACGGCAAACTGCCTACTCTGTCGCACAGCACTGGCAATGCTCTCTATGATTGCAGTTGTGGTTGTAGACCTGCTTTGAGTGAGGCTAGGCTGCAGAATCGGGGATTGATTGGTATCCTTGTGCCTACAGGAGGTTCACAGGTCCACATGAATCAGGTGATGGAACACTGTAGGTATTTGCACCCTGAAGAAATGTGGTGTCTGATGGGTGGAATGCCAGGGCTTGATTTTGGACCTCACTTGCGCTTGGCCATGGGTGGAATTGGACAAGCTGTTTCTCCAATTGCCGGGCTTTGGATTTTCGCCCAAATCCGTCGCCATTTGGATTCCTTTTTGGATTGCACTGACCGTTTGTGCCCTCACCAGGTCTTGTCTGCGTATGTCCATGAAGTGAAGCAGCGGTGTCTTGCAAAGTGGCCTCCCCCGATCCCCCTACTGTGCCTGACCCCATTGTTGAGGTTGACGCTGAAATGCTTGAGCTTGACTTGGTTTGTCCTGCTGATGGTGACGTCATCCAAACCGATCCAAACCATCAGATGTCCGACTGGCACCACTTGTGCTCAGCTTGTTGCTGCTGAAGCCAAGCTTGGAACGTTGGACTTTGACTTTGAGGTCACCGTGAATGGTGATCCCATTGACTTGAACAAATCGTTGGATGAAAAGGTGCTTGTGACGTTGGTGCCTTCTGGATGGGATGTGCGGTCGCAGTATGTAGAAGCTGTTGCGTGCTGTTTGGATGAAGATTGCACTGCTGAAGGGGACAGGCTTGGAGCGGTAGTGGCTCCTGGCGCTGAAGTGACCAGCATTGGCCAGCTCTTGGACTTGCGTCGCATTGTCATGCCCCAGGCGCAGCGCCTGGAGATCCTTTCGCGTCAGGGACCTACATGGGGTGATGATGAGTTGCTCTATTGGCTTGAGCACTGTGCAACTTCGGCTGATGAGCTGCAGAATGTGGTTGTTTGGGATCCTTTGTTGATTTCTGGACTTGTGCTTGTTGACAACCCTGGCACATGGGCGCAGCTCACTGCAGTGTTGGCAAAGGTTGTGACGGTGATTTCTGCAGTTGTCATTGATCAGCATTGGGTCCCTTTGGTGTGGAGACTTGATGAGGTTGGTTGCAAGCTCTTCACTGGCTCCATCAAGGAGTCTCATGGTTCAGTGATGCAGACCTTGGCACAGATTCCTGGACTTGGTAGGAATGGACAGCTTGGTGTATGGACTTCTTTGGATTTTGGATTTCAGGTCACTTCCCACTGTGGTGCGGCTGTCATTGCGTTTGTGCGTCATTTACTGTTGGAAACCCCAATGCCTCGATCACAGGATGCTGTGAACTCTCTGGCTAGTGCCTTGCGTTTGGACTTTGCCTCTGGGTTGCTTCAGCAGTGCATGGTGCCCCGTCTTGCTGGTCTTGGTCAGGTTGACTTGGAAGCGTTGTGTGCTTTGTTGGTTCAACAAGGGGTTGCTGGTGATGAAGTGAAACTGCGTGCTCAGACCCTTCTTTGTGCCTTGGGGGATGGACCTGTTGCCAAAGCGCTTACTGCAGTCAATCCTTGGCGGGAGCTCAAGTGGCTAGCAAACCAGCAGAGGCCACCGTTCCTGATTGTCAAGCCCTCAGAATTGAATGAAAAGGTGAAACAGCGACAGGGCAAGGGATCAGTTGGTCAGAAATCACATAAACATGCCAAAGGCAAAGGAAAAGGCTCAAAGCCAGGGGTTGTGTCGTCCTTGGATCCTACTCGACTTCGCTTGGAACTTGGTTTGCTTCAGAGCACTGATGGGACCCCGCTTGCTCAGGTGTCTTTGCCCCAAGTTGCATCGCATGTCTCTGGAGTTGTGTTGACCACTTTGGCTTTGGCTGGACCGTACCTTCGGGCAGCCAGCATCGTGTCCACTGGTGCACTTGCGTTCTTTTTGGTTGACACTGTCCTTCCGCTGACTTCGGGGTTGCGTTCCACGGTTGTGACTTTGCCTTTGATCTGTGCTGAGAATTCCGAACCTTTATTGGTGGAAGGTTTGTTGGTTCAACTTGGTGCCACCCCGGTTTGTCGTCCGGATTCCACAGTTGGCTGTCAGGTTCAGTCTATCCCGACTTGCGTCGTCAAATTCATGGTGTTTCGGGACATGATTGTCGGTGATTGGAATCAGGTTGTGGCTCATCCGTTGCAGTACATCATCCAAAAAGTTTGTCCTTTGCAGGTTTGTTCGGATGAAGAGTGTCCAGGGTGTGAAGCTTGGCACCGTACGGATCAGTTTCCAGTTGATTCTCCTATCCTTGAAGTTTGGGGTCGGCAGTGGATGAAACAGACCTTTGCCTTTTGCAGTCCTGAAGAAGCTGAAGTTTATGCTGTTCACTTGAGGCTTCCAGAAACGCTTCAAATTTCTGTGCAGGAGTTTAGTGGTACCCAAGGGGTGTTTGCTGAACCCAAAACGGTTTGTGGCCGAAAACCCTCAACGGTTTTTCAGGTCATTTGGACTCCACGTACTTCCTTGAGTCAGTTGGTCATGCAGAGACAGACACTGCCTGAGGTCTGTGGCGTCGCACGTCTTGGGGCCAAACTTGGCTTGAGATGCAGAGTTGAACATGCGGCTGCTCTCTCAGCCAAGATCCGTCCTGAACAGGTCTTTTTGCCAGCAGGTGATCGAATGACTTTTCTGGTGGGTCCAATGCCTTATGGTACTTTGCGGTCATCCCTGACCAAGACACTGGGTGATTTCGGATGGACTGTCCGTCCTTTGCAGCCGGTTTCCACTGGGACACAAGTGCAGGGGCTCATGTTTCGGGTCCAAGCCATTGCAGAACCCCCCAAAAAGGTGCTGAGGATGTCGCATGGAGATGTGGTCGTGACTCGTGAAACGGAAGTTGCCCAAGTTGCACCTGCTCTGCCGTCAGTTGTGGCTTCTCACAATACTGTCTCCAAGGCCTCCTCTGACCAGATGGTTGATGAGCTGCAGATTCATGATCCCTGGGCAAAGCCAGGCCCCAGGACTCAGAAGCTTGCACCGCAGACAGTGCACTTGCACAATCCTTTGGAAGACATGGAACAACGAGTGGTCTCAGCAGTGTTGGCGCAGCTCCCTCGTGCCAGCATGGATGTTGACAGTGAAGGGACTCATGATCCCAGGGTTGATCACCTTGAAAAAGAGATGCATGAGCTGAAGCAGCATGCCCAATGCTTGCAGGAATCCATGTCCCAACATGCGGCTGACCACAACAAGCAACTTCATGAGGTTCGTGACCAGATGCAGCAGCAGGGTGCCCATTTTGAAGCAGCAATTGCCAGCCATGCTTCCCAACTGCATGCTTTCCAAGAATCGTTCCAGGAACAATTCCGACAGCAGTCCGTGAATCAACAATCTATGTTGGATAGCATGTTTCATAAGCAAATGAGTCAATTTGAGTCACTTTTGGCGAAGCGCCACCGTCCTGAGTGAGGGTGCCCAGTTGTTTGGAAACCTTCCCTGAACAATTGGGATGGACTGGTGGGAGGTACATTGCCCTTTTTGCTTTGGTTCGTTTTGGCGCTCATGACATGGTATGGCAGCTACATGGCCGTTCCGGTGGATCTTGTCTTTTTGGATTTTGGCTGTTCAGTCGCTTGGGTCGGGGAATGCAGGTTGTGTGCAGCTGCCTTCTTGCACTTGGCCCGTTGGCTGGACTTGGACTTATGCCTGGGCTTTTGGGAAAGAATCAGGTGCGGTTCAGAGTTCCCGACCAGTTCGAAGGAGCTGGTTGTTCTTTGCGATTTTGAGTGGACTTCTTTTGCCTTCTTTTGCGGGTTGGGGAGGCATCACATCCGGGGCCCGAAGGGAATGGCATCTGGACTTTTGGAATTGCCAACCCTTCGGGTCTGAATACGAAGGTGGATCAAGTCGCTCACATGGGCGGACATGCTTGGATCTTGAGTGAAACCCAACTCTCTGTGACTGGGGTCCGAGGTTTTGTTAAGGGGTTGAGAGCTGTGCAGTCTCCTTGGCAATCGGTTGTTCCAGGTGCTCCTTGTCCCTCAAGGAATCAGTATATGGCACAGGTTCGCATACAGGTGTCATGCTGCTGAGCCGATTTCCAGCGCGAGCCTTGCCCCAACAGTTTGCTGAACATACCTACAGCACAGCCAGGTTGCAGGTTGCCGGGATGGTGGTTGGAGACACATGGATTACGGTTGGGATGATGTACGGTGTCACTGCCAATGCACAACACAAACAGGCCAGGTATACCACTGAGGTCTTGTTGGCCGAATTGGTTGAACGAGTTGGGTATCAGAGCACAGGACCAAGGATCATAGGTGGTGATTTCAATTTTGCAGCAACCGAGCTTGACCAAACACAGCGCCTCTTGGACTTGGGCTTTAGAGAGGTGCAAACACTTGCAGCACTTTGGTGGGGGCGGTCGGTTGTTCCTACGAGTCGAGGACGGAAGTGCATTGACCAGCTTTGGATTTCTCCTGAGTTGCAGGCACTGCTGACTGACGTCCAAGTACATCATGACATGTGGTCTGACCATGCTGCAGTTGTGGCTTCTTTTCGTTCACCGGGGGGTGGGGTGTTTGACTACTGGCGTGTTCCTCAGCAGTATCCTTGGCCATCTGATTGGACTTGTTCAGTTGATTTTGATGTCGAGGGTGACTTGACAGCTGAGTATGCCAAGTTTTGGAATCAGGTTGAAACGCAAGCGCAATTGTGGAATTCGCACCATGGACTTGTGTGCAAGCGCTCTCAACTTGGCAGGGGTCAAACTTTGGAAACGGTCCCTCGAAAGCCCTATCAGGTACCCCGCCGAAAAGCCAGAGTGGGCGAGGTTGCTCCGACTTTCCTCGGGGTTAGCCTCCAACATGCCAGGTATTTCAAACAATTGAGGCGTCTTCAAGCCTTGTCTCAACAGCTTAGGTCTGGACTTGGTACCTTGAATTCTCAGTTGAACCGAGAGGCTACTTGGAGGGCGATCCGGTTTGCAGCGGGCTTTCCTGGAGGATTTGGCATCTGGTGGGGCGTGCAGGGGTTGAGTCCCGTCTGGCCGGTTGGACTTCCGTTGGTGTGCCCTTCTGCTACTGACCTTGGGGCTATGTTTGAGTCTATGGCGGCATGGGTTAAGCAATATGAGATCCGTCTTGCCCAGCGCAGATATCAGTTTGGCAAACAACGTCGCGTTGATAGCCTTAAATATGTTTTCAGTGACTGCAAGCTTGCTCCTGCTCCACAGGTTGATACTTTGATTGACCGTCTTGAGGTGGCCATAGAAGAGGTGCGGGTAGAGGAGAGTGCACTCGTGTTGGTGCGTGCGGTTCGGTTGTTGCCTGACCTTCCCGTTGTTGTCCAAGGGCGTGTCATGCAGGTCATCCATCATGAGGCCGATCAGATTTGGGTTGAAGATGTGTCGGGGGTCGTCGCTGGCCAGTTGCTGATCCAAGAAAAGGCTACCACATCTGAGGCCGCTATTATTGCTCGGTTTCATGATGTTTGGGAGCCCCGCTGGAACAAAGCCCATCATGTTTCACCGGGGCAATGGGATCAAATCTGTGGTTTTGCCGAGCGTGTGATGAAACCACTTGAGTGGCAGTCGCAACCTTGGACTTTGCAGCGATTTGTAACGGCTGTTTCGCGCAAGAAGAAAACGTCTGGAAGGGGTCCGGATGGGGTTTCACAGCCTGACCTGGCTGCACTTCCTGCTACGGCAGCGGCTGCTTGTGTTTCTATGTTTGAAGCGGTTGAGGGGGGCAAGCGTTGGCCTGAGCAACTGGCCGCGGGCTATGTCAATAGCCTGGCAAAACACCTTCAAGCCCAACATGTTGATGAGTTTCGGCCAGTTACGGTGTACAGCCTTCTTTACCGGATTTGGTCCACAGAGAGAGCCAGGGAAGCTCTCAGAACTGTTGCAGCGGTGATCCCAGATAGTGTTCAGGGCGGGGTACCGGGGAGGCAAGCCAAAGCCATCTGGTATGATGTGGCACAGACATTGGAATTTGCGTTTCTTGATGGCTGTGCGGTGCATGGTGTGTTGTTGGACATTTCCAAAGCGTTCAACGCTATCCCTAGGTATCCCCTTTGGTTTGCACTTCGGCTCATGGATTTTCCTGTCGGTGTGATGCGGGCTTGGTGTTGCTTTGTGTCGGCCCAGACACGTAGGTTCAAGGTACGGCAGGCAGTTGGCAAAGCAGTGGGCTCCAATTGTGGACTTCCTGAGGGGTGTGGCCTCTCTGTCTTTGGTATGATCATTGTTGATTGGCTTTTGGACTTGTGGTTAGCTCAGCTGAACAAAGGGATCAACTTGAAGGCATTCATCGATGACTGGGGGCTGAGATTCCACTCAGTTTTGGACTTCCCCTTGCTGTGGTCTAAAGTTCAGGACTTTGTGACTGCCATGGATTTGTCGTTGGACTTGAAGAAATCGCGCCTCTGGAGTACAGATGGTGCAGCCCGAGCTGACTTGCGTGATTTTGATGTAACACTGGCTCACTTTGCCCGCAACCTTGGGGCTCACCAGAACTTCACACGTCACTGTTGGAATTCTGTTCTCCAAGAGCGCCTGCGCACCATGCCTCAGGTTTGGACTTTGTTGCGTGCCAGTTTGTCTCCCTATCACCTCAAGCTCAAAGCACTGCCAATTTTGGGGTGGCCCCGTGCGCTTCACGGGATTGCGGTCGTGCACCTTGGTCAGGCTCACTATCGGGTCTTGCGGTCGGGCGCCATGAGGGGCCTGCGTGCAGAGCGGAAGGGTGCCAACCCTGTCCTTCACTTGGCCAGTGGTCAGTTTTTGGCCGACCCAGAAGCCTGGGCGATTTGTCAGACCTTTCGGGATGCGCGGGAACTTGGTGGCTATGAGCGCATGGAGCAAATCCTTGGGCTTTTCACTGACTCAGCAGACATGTTGCCCAAGAATGGGCCAACCGCGGTGTTGCTGTCCCGTATACGTCGCCTTGGTTGGGTCGTTGGAGGTGGTGGACTTATCCAAGATAGTCTCGGTACTTTCTCACTGTTTGATGCGGCGTGGGATGAAATTGGTGTTCGTATGCGTTTGGCTTGGTCTCATGTTCTTTCGGTTGAAGCCGCCCATCGGCCTACCTTTGGTGGTTTGGACTCGGTTGATGTTGTCGCTACCCAACAAGCAGTTGAGCATTTCAGCCCGGCAGATCAAGTTTATCTCCGTTGCCATCTTGACAGGACGTTATTTGTTCAAAACGGCAGGGCCAAGTTCCAACCTGGCGTCTCAGATGTTTGTCCTTGGTGTGGTCAAAAAGATGGATTTCTGCATCGGGCTTGGGTTTGTGTCCATTTTGAGCATTGCAGGGGTCATTTCACACCTGCCCAGAGGCGTGCTGCTTTGGACTTGCCGGAGTGCTTCTCTGTCCATGGTTGGGCCGTTGTCCTTGAGGAGTGGCGTGTCTTTGTCGGTCTTCTCCTTCAGGATTCAGGGTTCTCACGGATGTCACCTGTTGGCCTACCCAAACTTGCAACTTCCCAGTGGTGTGACTTGTTTCTTGATGGCACGTGTGCTCACCCAAAAGAACCTATGCTGCGTTTTGCGGCTTGGGCGGTGACTCTGGCCAGTGGTGGCCCTGGTGTGTTGGACAATCAGCTCACTCTTGCAGGACATGTTACTGGCCTTTGTCAATCGGCTTTTCGTGCAGAATTGATGGCAGTCTATGAAGCACTGCGATGGGCATCTCAGAGGTGCCTACGAGTCAGGTTGTGGAGTGACTGTCTGGGGGTGGTTCAAGGGGTTCGAAGACTGCTTTCAGGAGGAGTCGTCAAACCTAACAAAGCGCATTCAGATTTGTGGAGAGCCATTGCCTCAATTTTGCATGAGGGGGTGATTGAGGTGCAGATTATCAAAGTGGTTTCACATTGCAGCATTCGCTCCGCTACCAACTGTGAAGAGGAATGGGCATATTGGCACAACCAACTCACTGATCAGGCCGCTGTTGCGGTGAACACAAGGCGACCAGACGAGTTTTGGGTAGCGTGGGATGCGCTATCGATTGCGCTGACCGAGCGGCGCAAGCTACACATGGCAGTTTTGCAGATGCTACTGAAACAGAGTCGTTTTGCTCACAGGGCCCAGCAGAAAGAAACCAAATCAGTTGTCCCAGTCGCTAGTACGCCTGTCGCTAGTACGCCTGTCGCTAGTACGCCTGTCGCTAGTACGCCTGTCGCTAGTACGCCTGTGGTAGTTGCACTGCCGACCCCACCGGTGTGGAAAAACCCAGAAAAGATGTGGAAGCGCTATGGGCGCGTCAATGTGGATGCCATTCATGCGTGGTGGTCTGAATGTGGTACAGCTGCATTTGCTGGCACTGAGGCAATCAAACTGGTATCTGGTTTGCAGTTGTTTTTGGATTTCACATGGAGCACGGGCCACGAGGGGCCATTTGTACACCGCAAAAAGTGGTATGCCCAAAAACATGAGATTCCCAAAGCGTGTGTGACCAATTATGGTGAAAGGGTTCGCGTTTTTCTTTCCATTTGGGGGACTTATTTGAAGAATCATGGGTTGAAAGTTCCGAATAAGGTTGCTCGGCCTTGTGGGGATTCTATTGCGAAGTTTGTGGTTTGTTATTATTTGCGTTGGCCTAGTTCCAAAGTTGCTATGGTTGATTCTCATGTTTTTGGATCAATGGGGCGCCAGCTGGCATCTCATAGAGATTTTGGCGCGGTTTCACCTTGTCGGCAATGACCCGCAGTGTTCGCAGCTCGGATGGGTGCGGAGGCCGCTCGCTGCCTCCGTGCCTTCTCATAAACCGCAATAAACCGTAATATTTTTCAAGATGGTTAAAACCACCAACCAGTTTTTGATAGGTGCCATTAAAACTACTGGTTGGTGCTTTGGAACATTTTTTATTTGTCCATATATTGGGAATAATCCTTCCCATTGATTAATACTTTTCAAGATGGTTAAAACCACCAACCAGTTTTTGATAGGTGCCATTAAAACTACTGGTTGGTGCTTTGGATCATTTTTTATTTGTCCATACATTGGGAATAATCCTTCCCATTGATTATATAATATTTTTCAAGATGGTTAAAACCACCAACCAGTTTTTGATAGGTGCCATTAAAACTACTGGTTTGTGCTTTGGAACATTTTTTATTTGTCCATATATTGGGAATAATCCTTCCCATTGATTAATATGGTTCAAGATGGTTAAAACCACCAACCAGTTTTTGATAGGTGCCATTAAAATTACTGGTTGGTGCTTTGGATCATTTTTTATTTTTCCATATATTGGCGGTCATCCTTCCCATTGATTGATATTCTTCAAGATGGTTATAACCACCAACCATATTATTCAACCCCCCTGGACTATTTTGGATGGTTTACTCCCCGACCCACGTTTGTATCGCCAGGCTGGCATCCCTTGAACGAGTGGTACACCTTGAAGTCCTTGGGTTCACGACAGGTGACCTGACGGCGTCAACGGTGGATAGCAGGGAAGCGTTTTTAGGGACAAGAAATAGCGAAGTTGTAGAAGCAAGGATTTGTTACCCTCTGGTCATTTAACATAGCTATGGAAAATGGCCATTTATAGTGATTTACCCATTGAAAATTGTGATTTTCCATCGTTATGTTAGTTCTGTTTGTTTCCAAGAGGGTAATTCAGAAAAAGAGTAATTCAGCAAAAGGGTGTCTGGTTGGTGGTTTGGAACATGAATTTTATTTTCCATAATATATGGGAATAATCCCAACTGACTATTTTTCAGAGGGGTTGAAACCACCAACCAGGCAAAAGAGTGTGTTTAACTGTTTTGTGTGGCTTTGCCTGTTGAGTGATGATTTTTCTACTTGCGGAAAAGACCCACAACAGTGGTAATTACTCCTGTAAGAAGTTTGGGAAGGGGCTCAATGGGGAGGTTTGGAATGGAAAGTCACCCATGTTCAGTCAATCAGATTGATATTTGGGCCATTTGGGTCATCATTGTTACCCTTCCTCGGCGAAGATTGGGTCACTGTTGGCTTCATACGCAAAGTCTATGTGGAAGTTTGGGAGAGATGCAACGGTATTTGACGTTCAGGGAAGAGGCAGTAAGAACAATCCCTCGGGTACCAGCCATCCACAAATTGCCCAACGTGCAACGGGTCCATGTGTTCGTTTAGATTTCACTCCCTTGGTTTTCAGTCGCGAAATTCCCCTTTAGTTCCCCTGAGGGTTCTCTGAAGGTGAATTCTAGAAAATTTGTGATGTCTACTGAGCCAGTCTATTTGTTGCTGTAAAAACTCCCATTTTTTTGTTGCTTTCAGTCGATGTTTTCGGAAACAAACGGCACGGAACTCGCAGGTGGAAATTTCCACGAACTCGCTGGAACCCTGTGACTTGGGTTGGACGTTGGATGATGCGAAAAAATGGACGACAAGTCCCTTATTAAATGGCGAAAAACCATGGAGTTTTTTGTGAATCATTGAATCATAGTCTAAAAAATAGTGCTCTGCTTAAGGAATTGGTCGAACTTCAGAGTTTATCTGATTTTGGGGGGCTTTTTTGTTTGGAAATCTATTCGGATCACAACTGATTTTATGTAAAGTGATATTCAACTGGTTGTTGGTTTCAAACATGGCTTTTATTGTCCATTTCATATGGGTTGTCATCCTTCCCATTGACGAACTCATCTTTTTCAAGATGGGCACATTGCACCACCAAGCAGTCAACATTAGAACAAAACCATCCCCCTGTACGGGATATCCAATGACCAGTTGGGCACTGCTGGCACTGGGTCACTGATGTCACTGATGTTCATTCGTCGATGAGATGATCCCGAGCCAATTTTTGTGCGACTGGGAAAAGTCATGAAAAGTCGATGGCCCAACTGGTTTGGCATGTTAATGGATCAATATACCTAACAGATTTAATATATACCGAGCCAAGAACGATGTTCGCTGCATGGAAATCTGCACTGTGTATCTCGGATGGCACCCGGACCCCTTCAGATCATGCCGGGCAGGCTACAAGATCATGGGCTGAGCACCCGCAGGGCGATGGGATGCGATGGGTACAAAATGGGCAGCGGACATGGGAGGAACTCTGGTGCTGGTGAAGTCTTTAACTTTGACGGCTAGGGATATTTTAAGTGATGGTTTGGTGGGTGATAAAGCATGATAAAGCATGATAAAGCATGATAAAGCAGTGAAATTGGGAAAGCACAAAAGCTGAGTGATTGACTGATTGAGGCTGTGGATGAGGGCAGATGTCCAATTGAAGGACACAGTTTGGGATGCCACAGAGTCTCTAGAGATCTAGAGTTCACGAAAAAAAGCAAAGGGATGCAATGTACCATGCAATGTACTGTTAAATGATGTTAAATGTCAAGTGGAAAAGTGGAAGTCAATGACTTTTTTGGTGATGTCAGTGATGTCTTTTTTTTTAGACATGTCGGGGATGTTGGGATGATCCAAGGCAACCCGCTTGGCCTCAAGAGGTCGGAGACTATGGACACTGGGACGCTGCAGGCAATTCATATGTAATATATATATATGATATATTATGATATTTTATGATATATTATGATATATTATGATATATTTATGATATATTTATGATATATTATGATATATTATGATATATTTATGGTTTATTATGATATATTATGATATATTATGATATATTTATGATATATTTATGATATATTATGATATATTTATGATATATTATGATATATTATGATATATTTATGATATATTATGATATATTATGATATATTATGAGATATTATGATATATTATGATATATTATGATATATTTATGATATATTATGATATATTATGATATATTATGATATATTATGATATATTATGATATATTATGATATATTATGATATATTTATGATATATTTATGATATATTATGATATATTATGATATATTATGATATATTATGATATATTTATGATATATTATGATATATTATGATATATTATGATATATTATGGTATATTTATGATATATTATGATATATTATGATATATTTATGATATATTATGATATATTTATGATATATTATGATATATTTATGATATATTATGATATATTATGATATATTATGGTATATTTATGATATATTATGATATATTATGATATATTTATGATATATTATGATATATTTATGATATATTATGATATATTTATGATATATTATGATATATTATGATATATTATGGTATATTTATGATATATTATGATATATTATGATATATTTATGATATATTATGATATATTTATGATATATTAATGATATATTATGATATATTATGATATATTATGATATATTTATGATATATTATGATTTATGATATATTATGATATATTTATGATATATTATGATATATTATGATATATTATGATATATTTATGATATATTATGATATATTATGATATATTATGATATATTATGATATATTTATGATATATTATGATATATTTATGATATATTATGATATATTATGATATATTATGATATATTTATGATATATTATGATATATTAATGATATATTATGATATATTATGATATATTTATGATATATTATGATATATTATGATATATTATGATATATTATGATATATTATGATATATTTATGGTTTATTATGATATATTATGATATATTATGATATATTTATGATATATTATGATATATTATGATATATTATGATATATTATGATATATTATGATATATCACATAACAATATCATGTTATATCCATGTCATATAGCCCCCAGTTGTTTGTTTTTTATGTTGTTTGAAATGTGCTGTAGTTCACCCTGGTTCCATGTGAGTCTGTTTGAAATGTGTGGTATACCGTATACCGTCTACCCCAACTTAACTGATTTATCAATCTTTATCATCCGTTTCTTATAAAATATCAAACAAAAATATAAAGTGGCTGAATGTTTATCATCATGTTCCGTGTTCCATCATGTTCCCAAAAAAATGATTATAAGATGGTTATGGTTGATCCCCCATTTTATTTTTTCATTTTCAAGGATCAAGCATTTGAAAATGGGGCATTTGATGACTGCGAAGGTGCCTCCCACTGGGAGCTACTACGTGAATAGCGCAATGGCGGACGTGTGGACCCTGCCCACGCCACTGGGTGAGGATTTGGATTTGTTCGAAGAAGTTTGTGTTCACCTTGCTGGCGCCAAAAGGACAATGGAACGGTAATGAATCCCACTAAAATAGTGATTTTTATGAGTTTTCAGTACCACTAAAATAGTGATTCACAGTAATGTCCTATACTAAAAAGTACTAGAATAGATGAACATAATCATAAATGACTCTTCTATTTCTTTGGTGGTTTACTGCAACTTCCACCTATGAATCTTGCATAACCTTGCAAAATCCTATGTCGAGGTTTGTTGATAGATAAAAAGTGATGAATTCCTCCAAAGGGCGATGCGTTTCTGGAGAATGTAAGAAGCCATGCAGGACAAGATGATGTCATCGAGGAATAGCCTTGCTTCCATTCTGGAACCCCCCAAAAAATGGATGGTGGGATAGGTCCTAAATATATATATATATATATGTTTTTTTCGCCATCTAAAGGGCCCAATGATCCAATGGTAGTCCGAAAAATGTAACAACCAAACCGGTCCATCTATTTCTATTCCAAGACATCATTGGCTCGACCACCCTAGAGAAAATCAAAGGGCCTCAGCAAAGCCAACTGGGAAGTTTCATCAACCAGACTTGCGGATTAATGGATATATCATTGTATGTAATTTTTGGGAGTCAACCACTTTTTTTGGTTGGTTCATTGTATTTGGGAACTCCTAAAAGGTGATGTAGATACACATGAGAGGAACTCTGGCACTGTTTCGGTCTGTGGCTTAAGTGCTTTGAAGTGCTTCCCTCTTCCAGGGATTCCATGTCTAGAATGATTGCCCCAAGAGTGATTTTGGGATGGATTGAAGTTTGAAAACACCAAGCAGTTTTTAGGGCGCAGGATGGGGAAGCCAGCTGCAATACTGATCCACAGATCTGGAACCCATGGACCCCTCAGAAATGCTGGAAAAATCACTTTCCAACCGAAAACAGTACCCGCTGGTTATGACTAACATAGCCATGGAAAATGGGCCATAGAAATAGATGGTTTACCTATTAAAAATGGTGGATCTTTCCATGGCAAACTGTTAGTCATAACCAGATGGTAATTCTTCAAGTTCAGGAGTTCTATAGGAATGTTCAATAGGAACACATCAAAAAAAACATTTTTTTCAAATTCAAGATGATTTATTCTATAGGAATACCCAAAAAAATCAAATGTCAGACCGAAAAACCCAGGAGTATGGTACAAAAGATTCCGTTGGACACCAGCATTTCTGGTACCGCTCCACCGCTGTGGGTTCGTTCCGAAGGGACACCGGCTGGGTGGGTTATGGTGGGTTGGGGATGGCTGGGAACTGCTGGGAAACCATGGAAAAAGCCCAAAGTCATGGAATCATTGGGTTGAGAAACCATGATATTTCGTTGGGAAAACTCTGGGAAAGCCCTTAAAAATGTTGGAAAATCATGGTTGAGAAAGCAAGACTGGTTTAATTCATAAAACTATTTGAAATAGTTCGAAATGCCACATGGATGGCTCAACCCCTGTCTCTTGGTCCCATCTCCCCTCACCAGGAGCCTGTTTACAACCAACAAATATGGCCTGGGCAATGGTATGGGTGACATGCGCATTCGCTTCAAGGGCAACAACTGGAACAACGTGTCGCTTGGCAAAGTCGTTCAGATTGGCTCAGATCATATCCAGCATGGCAGGATATGATCTGGGCCAATAAAAAAGTGCCACGTGACCTCACTGGAATCACGGTCAATAAGAGGAATCATCTGAAATATTACAACTTGCCCAGATATTATGCGTAAGTTTTCCTGGGTGGTGGAATCATGTGGAATCCAACAAAACAAGTAGTGGTTTCCAACAAACAAGCATTCTTCCTTCTTTGTTGCTGGAAAGGAGACCGCTTTGACATGCTATTGTTATATTTCTATATTATATTTCTCATATCCAGGTTTGTTCTTTCAGTTCAGTCTTGATTATAAAAACGTCTTGCTGGCTGATAGCCCTGTTCTTGCAGCGATATTTTACTTGTAGAGTCTCCGGGGTAGTGCACCATTTTGAAGAATCATGAAGAATCCCTTGCCCATACTCCAGTATAAGATAGCCCCTCAAGAAGGGACCCGAGAGTGAGGATAGATTTTCGTTCATATTTCATATTGAAGCATCCAGTTTCTGCTAATACGTCTTGGCTGTCCATTGGAACCAGCCCAGGGCTCTGTCAGTGCTGGGGAAGAACGTGATGGGTACTATCCAGGACACGTTTCGGGCTTGGCCTGGCTTGGCCTTGCTGCACCGAGCTGGGATACCTGCGGGGAATTAAAAAAAAAAACGAGTCCAACCGGGATAAATTAGAACCCTACTCGCATCTGCTCGATGTGATTATGAAACTATGACCATCTACAATGTGGGTGGGCCCCAGTGGGGCCCCCCAGTTGTAAGTTGGTTTATAAACCCCATTAACTATAGTTATAGGTTATAAGTACCATAAACCATAGTTATTGGAGTTATAAACCAACTTAGCTATCTTGGGGGCCCCACATTGTATGACCCATATGTTTTCCCATTTATTCAAAGTTTGGTGACTTACTGGCTGTGATTATGATCCGTTTCTCCCGCGGCTGCTAGTTCCAGTATGAATGAGCCATGCGCTAGGACAAAACAGCATTTTAGACATGTGTTGGGAATATTTAGATTGACACGCTCAAAAACGTTGTTTGGGGTCGGTATATTCCTATTTATTGTTGATTACTACCATGATCTATGATCATGTTCGCAGGTTTTCATTCCCATAAGTTCCATAAGTTGTTGTTGTCATTCCTCGCCGCTATTTCTTTGACAAAAAGATATTCGTAGCATCGAGAGGCCAAGTCTCATTTTTTAGCACTACCCGGATGTTATTGCTTCATTTACT